TGAAATCGTTAAATCAGTTCCAGAATTTAAGGGGGAACTTGAAAATTATGTGAGTTGGAGGGAAGCAGCAGAAAACGCTATGAGTCAGTATATTCGCAAAAGTAAGCGATGTTTCGCAGCAATGTTAAGAAACAAGATAACAGGAAAAGCAAACGATGCTCTAACCATCCATGGAACAATCCTAAATTTTGATGCTATTTTAGCCAGATTAGATTTCGTTTTAAGCGATAGAAGACCGCTACACATTATCGAACAAGAATTAAGTATTCTTACACAAGGAAAACTAAGTGTAATGAAATACTATAACCAAGTGTACAGGAAACTAACATTACTGACTAACAAAACTATAATGACATATGGGCATAATAAGCCAATCACTTCAGAAATTAATGCTAGACATAGACAGAGTGCACTAAGAGTTTTCGTAACTGGCCTTAACGGCCCAATATCATCGACTCTGTATTCCATGAACCCAACTGACTTGCCTAATGCAATGGCGTTTGTACAGGAGATGGAAAGTAATAATATGAGAGCAAAATTTGCTCACAATTTCGTAGGAATGAGTTATAGAAATTATAACTCAAATTATAGTAATGATAATTCTTTTAATCAAAAGACCACTAGTTACAATAATTCAAGTTATTTGAGATACAATCAAAAATATCCGCAACAAGTAAAAAATAATCAATGGAATCAGAGTCAGAATAAAAATAATCAGTGGGGACAAAATAATAATTGGAAGTTTAATAACAATCAGGTTCAGTCTGCTCCTGAACCCATGGAGATAGATGAATCAATCCAGTATCAAAATTGTCCTATGAATAATTTTAGCAGGGGTAATAATAACAGACAAAATTATAATAATTATTATACAAGAAATAATTATAATCAAAACCAAGCGCAAAAAACAAATATAAGCGCCACTCAAAACAAATCACATCACATGAATCACATCCACCGTTAAAGCGGGAACCAACTGGTTCAATTAATCAGCCTGCTCAAAAAATTATGAGAGTAAATAATATAGATGAGGATCGTTTTTTAGATCAGAATCCGGCGTAGGATTACCCTACTTGATGAGAACTGACAAAAAAATCGAAAAGGAATTAAAAGTTTTAATTGACACAGGAGCAACATCTTGTTACATAAAAACAGGAATTTATCCAAATAAAAAGGAGTTTCCAATTTACAAAAGATTTTCAATAATAAAATAAATAAAATTCGGTTTACAATAATAAAATATTATCATTTAATAACGATATTTAACACAAGACAAGTATTTTATAAAATAGAAGGGTTAGAATCCGACCTACTTATAGGTTTTAATCTTTTAAAAAAAATAGGAGCGGTAATTGATATTCAAAAAGGGACCATCAAATATGACGGAAAAAAGAAAAATTACTTTACGATGAGGATGATTCTTTAAAGCAATTCTCGCTAACAAATAGAAAAATTATCCTTCCATTGAAAAAATATATTATAAAAAAATACGTTGAAGAGCAAAGTAGAATTAAAACAGAATCACAAATGGTGGAAAAAAGTTTATTTAGCTTGAGATCACATAATCCTGAGCAAGCCGACGTAGAATTATCCGTCAACAAAAAATCAAATAGTTTGGGATTTAAAAATCCTGAACACACCGACGTAGTATTATCCGTCAACAAAAAATCAAATAGTTTGGGATCCAAAAATCCTGAACACGCCGACGTAGAATAATCCGTCAACAAAAAATCAAATAGTTTGGGATCCAAAAATCCTGAACACGCCGACGCAGAATTATCCGTCAACAAATAATCAAATAGTTTGGGATCCAAAAAACATGAACACGCCGACGTAGAACTATCCGTCAACAAAAAAATGTAGAGTTTGGGATCCAAAAATCCTGAACACGCCAACTTAAAAAAATCCGTCAACAAAAAATTATATAGTTTGTGACAAAAAATTCCTGAACACGCCGACGAAGAATTTTCCGTTAACAAAAATTTAAAACGTTTGGTAACACAAAACCCTCAATGTGCCGACGTCGAACTATCCGTCAATAAAAAAGTAAAAACTTTGGGATCAAGGGATTCTGAAGGAAATAAAATAAATAATATTTAAATGTTAAATTCAAATTAAGTAGAAGATTTGGAGAAAAGAATAATATACATAATTGAAGAGAAACACTCTAAAATAAACCGACAAATTCCTTTTAGAACCACAATCGATTTGGAATCAGGATTCTAATTCTAATAAAAGACTCAGATATTGGAAAAAAACGTCTTTTTCTATTAAGAACCCTTTCGGGTTAACCAATGCGCCCAGAATTTTCCAGAGAGCAATGGATGATATTCTCAGAGAACAAGTAGGAAAAACATGCCACGTCTACATGGACGATATTATAAAAACACAATTTTTCAGATTTAACTCAAATAATAGGCATTTTACAAAGAGCAAATATGAAAATTTCTCTCGAAAAATTTAAATTCTTTAAATTATAAACCTCCTTTCTTGGTTACATTGTTTCTTTTAATGTAATCAAAACAGATCCTGAAAAAATTTCCACAATTTCAAGGTATCCGTTACCACAAAATATTAGAGAACTTCGAAGATTTCTAGGCTAAACTGGCTACTACCGAAAATTTGTCCGTAATTGCAAAACCTCTTACAAAATATTTAGGTGGGGAAACTGGAAATGTTTCTATAAGAATATCTACAAAAGTTTTAATACAGTTAGACGATTCAGCTATAAAGCTTTTAACGAACTAAAAGAGAATCTAATAGCTCAAGTTGAACTAGTTCAACCAGATTATAGTAAAAAATTCACTTTGACAACAGACCCATCAGACGTAGCTATCGGGGCGGTATTATCACAGAATAACAAACCAATTACTTTCATTCCTAAGACATTTAATAAAACCGAGCAACTTTATGCCACAAACAAAAAGGAACTGCTAGCCATAGTATGGGCCATAAAAAATTTGAGAAACTCTTTGTACGGAGTAATTGGTATAGAAATCCAAACGGACCATTAATCTTTGTCTTTCACGATTTCGGACAAAAATCCCAACGTAGAAATGAAAAGATTTCATAGAAATTTTTACCCCAAAAATATTAAACAAGCCCGGTACAACAAATGTTGTAGCCGATGCATTATCTCGAATACAAATAAATAACATTACAAACAGTGACGTAGAACAAACAGAACAGTCAGACTCAGATCAAAACACACAGCATTCTGCTGACAGTAGTTTTGAAAATGGAATACAAGAAACCCGTAAACCGTTAAATCAGTTTAAACAACAACTGTTATTAACAACGGGGAGGTTTACAATACATGAGTCACTGGAAGTTTTTGGCAGGACACGACACATAATTGAATATGATAAACCAGAAAATTTAATAACTATATTAAAAGAGTATATTCCACCAAATATTACGGTAGGAATTCATTGTACATTAGAGGACTTATATCACATTCAATTACCCTTAAAAAATAATTTCAATAACCCATTTCTTTTCACGAGAATCTTTCTTCAAGACAGTAGGTTATATTGTTGGCCAAACTTATTTAATAAATTGAAAGAATATATCAAAAATTGTGTGATTTGTAGTGAAAATAAATATAACAGGCATCCAATAAAAATTCCAATTGATATATACTACCATATTGATATATACTACGCGCAAAATTAACATTTATTACTTGTATAGACGCGTATTCAAAATACCTTGTTGTAAAAGAAATTCAAAATAAGTAGTAGTTCCATTAACTTAATTTGAATGTTTAATTAAGGTAATGGAACTACTTCAACAATTTCCCCAAGCAAAAGTAATTATGACCGTTAACGAACCTAGTTATACCTCGGCCCAATTTAAATCATTTGAACAAAGGTGTGGAACTACTTTGCATTACGCAGACCCAAGACATAGTACTTCAAACGTACAAGTAGAAAGGGCACACTCAACATTAACAGAAATAGCTCGCTGCATAAAAGAGGAGTTTAATTTAAATAATTTTTCCGAAATAGTTATTAGAGCTGCTCAAAAATCAAGAAACATTTCGGAAGTAAAAAATTCGAATGTGAAAAATAAAGTGTATTTATTGTATTTGGGAAATTAAATAAAAAGGTTTAACACCAAATTACATAAAATAAAATATATATTTTTTAACAAAATTACAAGTGATATACTTAATTTGTATGTAGCAAAATAACACACATACAGCCGAAATGAATTTTATTCTTTATCGGTCTTTTTTATTTTTTTTCTGTTCGGTTTTTCTCTCGTCGCCAATGTAATGACCTGCAAATTGCCCAATAATTACAAACCAACTGAACCCAATTACTCAGACATCCAAACAATTTTTATTATTTCTTCGGTGCGATCCGCACTTTACAAGTGTATGTAAACGACTGCCTTAATGAGGGCCAGAATGCTCTCCGCTCTCAGCAACGCTCGCAGTGACAGGCTGCCACAGCAGCTATATAATATCGTTTACCGATTTGAATAAAATTATAAGCGTAATTCATTTTTAGCACCATATCCAAATATCAAGAAAAAAAGTAAAAAAGAGAGAAGATACAATTTTTTTCCCTTTAATTTTGTTTGGTATTCCAGTGACTCCTATTAAACCTACATGACATACTCGTCCGATTTTAATAAGCTATAAACCGTAATTTATGATATACTTTACCATTACTATATAAAAGAGCAACAGGAATACAATTTTTGTGAAAGTTTCATGGCGGATATACGGACATGGGTATATCGACTCTCCTAGTGGAAATTACTCCCTTACTGCAATGCATATTTCTAACTGAAATTATAATACTACTGCATTGTGATTATGTGGTATTAAATTAGATGTATTGTATCCCATGGTAAATCAGACTTTACTAATCGCCCGCCTACACGGATGACTTGTAACCCTTCTCTTACATTAAGCCTTGTATCTACCCTAATTTTAACGTCATTCTACTTAATAGCCGAGTTAATTTTACGTCTAACTTATCTTTTAGTATGACAATGAATCTTAAAAAAGATCGATCACCGAGAAGACCCAATCCGACCGTGGACCCGGTCATTATAATTAAATTTGAGCACGTGGCCGATAAGGTCGTAATACTGCGGGCGGCTGGTGCGTACCGAAGAGGAGTTAAGCAGCGACTAACCCCTCAGCTGCTGGGTATGAACTCGCTGCTGTTTATCTGAAAAAGAAGCTCTCAAGAGAAAATTATAAGATCTTTTGGGTCTTTACACGACAGGGGATTGTTCACGTCAACCAATGTGCGTTTAGAATACGCAGAAGCTTTATGTTCTTCAGAACTTTCTTTGCGGAATGAAATTTAGGATTTTGCCAAAGGGCTTTTTTCTTGATGATGACTTGGAGAGCTCCGGACGACCATAGTTTATTTCAGCAGATGACCAACACCTCAATAAAGTGAAGGAATTTGTGCACACAAATCGTCAGTTGACTGTTAGAGACCTTACTGATATAATGGGAACATTAAAAGGATCAGGAAAACCAGATCCTATCTTATGAAATGTCAAATTTCGTTTGGTACCGAAAGTGCTCAATTTCTTGCAAAAAAGTCGTCGCGTTAATGTGTGTGAAACAATGCTTTTTGATCATCAGGACAAGCTCAAATGCATGATCCGCAACGTTTCAGCAACTGAAATTTCATTACGGAAACAAAATTTGATGGCACTTCGATGCTAAAATCATCTTAAAAAAGATGACACACCCACTAGCATATCAATTCTTTCTTCAGATTGGAAAGAGGGATCTGCCAGTTTTCGGCCTTCGTTGCTTTTAGCTTCAAACAATGGGCATCCTTTGAAGCATGGTACTGTGTGATTTTGGGCAACTCAAACCTTGTCACTATGGACTTAAATGTGGCTGTAACAGATCCCCTAGTCTGAGAAGTTGAAGTACCGATCCCACTAAGTCAGGTTCTCGATTATTTCACTGCTAGATTCAAAATGACTTCACTTGTCAAAAAATTTAACTGGCTTCCAGAATCTAAAATGCACCAACAAATTTGGTAAGTTCCATCGGTGAATTTAATTATTACAATAGCAGTTACTAGAAAATTGGGGGATGAACTATGTATAGAATTCTGCAGTTGTTGATCCAGTGTAATATCACCAATTTATATTGCGTTTGCTGAATTCAATTCCGTCGCTGGATCGGCAAAAGATTTTTAAAAGTTGGACAGGATTTAATAGAATGTCCACCTTCGCACAAATAAAACAACTACCTATTCCACTGGTAAACACCGCTGTAGCTAAGCTTGCCTTTTTGGAATAGCTTTTAGCATTGGGCTTGGAGCTGTTCATCTGCCGAGCCTCCCGTTTTCCCAAATTCATACCTCTAGATACTATAAACTTTAAAATAATTGGCCAGGAAAAGAGTTCAGTGCAATCCCATTCTCTATTTAATTTTCCTACAGTGCCATCTTCCAGCTTGCCACAATCCAAATTAAACATAACAGCATATAAAATTTCCTGCTCGGTAGTTAGCGATTTTAAAAAAGCTAGTTGTTAATTTACACTGTCTACTGAAATTTTGAAGTCTTCTGAGTTTTAAATTACAAATTATGTTCATAACGATCATGCAGCAGGCGAAGAGCACAAATATAATCTTCCCCTGGCAACGATTAATGGAACGGGAACTAGAGCAGATCTCAAATGAATCATTTAAGATAGCCCACCCAGTTCACTGTCACTCACTGTATTAAAACCGTTCCTTTGGAACGGAATTTTCCGAAAAATTCAGGAATATTCAAGGAAGGAATTGGTACCGAGCGCTGCTGCCGAGGGTCTGTGTGCTATTCAAGACGTCACCAAGGCCATGCTAGACTGCTCAATATGTTAGCTTTAGTTGCACAATAAAGTTTTTCTACGGTGTACAGATAATCACTGTCACTCACTGTATTAAAATCGCTTGTCCATTAGGTGCATTTGATTTTTGTAATGTAAACCCTGTTGTCGGTAAAAGAATTCACTTGGCCAATTTCAGCTGTAAGAGCTACTTCCTCCTTTGATTTTTTAGGAGCCATGTTTTAAACAACGAACTTAAAATATTTATTCGGCTTATCCCTAATCAAATTCAATAATTTTTTAATAAAAGTTCTCTTTGTTGCTTATTTTGGCTAAGTTCTTTTAAAGTTCAATCGAAAGCTTGAAAGCTTGTGAATGAGAACTTACAGAAAACTTAAAAAAATGCCAATGTCAATGGCATTACATCCAATACAATTAACATGTGGTCGCTGTATATAAAATTAGCTAACGATCAATTCTAACACAGTAAAGACCGATTTAATTATACCCTTGCAGAGGGTATTATAATTTCAGTCAGAAGTTTGCAACGCAGTCAAGGAGACATCTCCGACCCTATAAAGTATATATATTCTTGATCAGCATCACCAGGCGAGTCGATCTAGCCATGTCCGTCTGTCCATCTGTTCGTCCGTCCGTTTCTACGCAAACTAGTCTCTCAGTTTTAAAGCTATCTGCATGAAACTTTCCCAAAAGTTGTCTTTCTATTGCAGGTAGAATATAAGTCGGAACGAGCCGGATCGGACGACTATAGCATATAGCTCCCATAGGAACAATCGAAAAAATAAATAAAAAAAATTATAACTTTGCTGTTTTTTAATTTTTTGCTAGTTCTTCGACATATAGTAATGGTTAAATATTTCAGTATTACGGTTTAAATTTCATCAGAATCAGACGACTATATCATATAGCTCCCATAGGAACAATCGCAAAAAAATTATAACTTTGCTGTTTTTAAAGTTTTCTATTAGTTCTGCGACAAGTAGTAATGGTTAAATACTTCAGAATTACGGTATAAATTTCATCAAGATCAGACGACTATATCATATAGCTCCCATAGGAACAATCAAAAAAATAAGAAAAAATGATAACTTTTCTGTTTTTTAATGATTTTTTAGTTCTTCGACATAAAGTAATGTTTAAATATTTCAGAGTTACGGTTTAAATTTCATCAAAATCGAACGACTATATCTTATAGCTCCCATAGAAATAACAAAAATATATGAAACAACTATCTAATAATTGAGCTGCAAATCATCATAGCTTCAATGTTTTTAGACATAAACGCAAGGTAATCATAATTTTAATGTTTTAAAAAATATTTAATTCTTGCAATAGCTGCAAGGGTATTTGAACCTCGGCTTGCCAAAGTTTGCTTCCTTTCTTGTTTTAATTTAATTTTATTATAATTAATATCCCAGTGCAGCAAGCACTTAGTTTTGTAGCGCCAGTCACTTTGAATGGGAGACACAAACTTATTTAAACAGGCATAGACTTAAAACTATTACTTGTTACTAACATTTTGCCTTACTCTCTTACATGTGCATACTAGTGCCACAGTCCTGAAAGGACATGGGCCGAGGTAAAAGCGCCCAATGGTCAGGCACCGGATTGCGCCGCATGAACTCGACGGGTTTGGGTGTGGTTCTTGGTAGCTTCTTCCCTATCCTACATAGCAATTATGTAATTTTCTTGACATACTCCACTGTAGCGTCAGCATCCCCTTTGAATTGGTTTCTTCCAAGTGATGTTTAAATTTGGGTTTCATTATAAGTTTGTTTGATAGAAATGTTTACAAGTACTACTAGTACGGATTGCAAAATTAAAAATTATTATTTATATTTGTAGTAAATATTTTTTACTTAATTTAAATATTTCAAATTTATGAAATAGTTTAATAAAAAAGATACTAAATAATACAAATATAATGGAAAAATAATCGTAGATACTTGCTTAACCTTGATTTATTTCTTCTTTTTTTAAATATATAAAAAAAGTTATCAAAAAATGTTATAACTGGTTTTAATTAGAATATTATTATTTTGATTAACTCTGCTGTACGTATATATATGTAAAAATATAAATATAAATGAAAGTTGTTTTGGATTTGAGATCTAGACGCTCTGAATACTGGGCTTTAAAGAATTAAGGATTACATATACTTGCGTGAAGTAATAGAGGGTGCTATTCTTAAATCACTAATTCACAATCACGCTCAAATCAAAAACGTATTTAAAAAATAAAAGGAAGCAGTCTCGGCAACCCAAATTTTATATTCCATTTCATCTTTGCAAATATGTAATATTCTTTGAAATACCTAATTTTCGATTTATTTTAGTTTATGTTAAAAAACATTGAAGCTATGATAATTTTCAGCTAATAATAATAAATTTAAAAGCGTAGCTCTCAATTATTAAACCATTACTAACACCATAAAAAAAAATACGAAAAATAGAGTTAACAATTTTCGTCATATATTTTTAGTAATATTCCGACTGTTCCAATGGGAGCTCTATGATATAGTCGTCCGAATTGGACCAAGTTTAAACTTTAATTCTGACTTAATGTCGAAAATAAAAAAAAATTAGAAAAACAACAAAGTTATAATTTTTTTTTCGGTTTTTCCTATGGAAGCTATATGCTATAGTCGTCCGATCCGGCTCATTCCGACGAATATACTACCAGCAATAGGAAGACAGATAGCTTTCAAACTAAGAGACTAGTTTGCGTTAAAACGGACGGTCGGACGGACATACGGACAGACGGACGGACATGGCTAGACTCTCTTAGTGATGCTGATCACGAAGGGTCGGAAATGTCTCCTTCACTGCGTTGCAAACTTCAGCATCACTAGGAGAGTCGATCTAGCCATGTCCGTCTGTCCGTCCGTCTGCCCGTCCGTCTGTCCGTCCGTCTGTCCGTCCGTTTCTACGCAAACTAGTCTCTCAGCTTTAAAGCTATCTGCATGAAACTTTCCCAAAAGTTGTCTTTCTATTGCAGGTAGTATATAAGTCGGAACGAGCCGGATCGGACGACTATAGCATATAGCTCCCAGAGGAACAATAGGAAAAATTAATAAAACAAAATTATAACTTTGGAGTTTTTTAATTTTTTTTTAGTTCTTCGAGATATAGTAATGGTTAAATATTTCAGAATTACGATTTAAATTTCATCAAAATCGGACGACTATAGCATATAGCTTCCATAGGAACAATCGTATAGCCGCCATAGGAACTATCGAAAAATTAAGCTGCAAATCATTATAGCTTCAATGTTTTTAAACATACACGCAAGTAATTCATAATTTTAACGTTTTCAAGAGTATTTCGTTTTTGAAATAGCTGCAAGGGTATATGAACTTCGGCTTGCCGAAGTTTGCTTGCTTTCTTGTTTTTCATTTTACTTTAAGTATTCATTTATTTTAGATTTAAACTAAGTTTCGATCCTAATTGTTTCATAGCTATGAGGCAGACAGGCCGATAGCATTGACGAAGAATTTTCTACTCGACGAAGCGATTTACCAAGCTTTTATAATTGTTATTTTTATTTACACATCCAAACTATCAATATTTACCTGTCGTCAAGAAATATTGAATTCATCAACACAGCTAATTCTACCTTATCTGCTGTGACATC